AACGTCCAGGAAAGAAGAAAAATCACTGGCTACTACCGGGGAGATGGTATCAGAGGGAGGATCCCCCTGTGTGTGCTCTGTGCTTTCTCACCCCTGCTCCTGGTCACTGTCCCCAGCCCAGGCAGCTGCTCCTGAGCTGGATGCAATGGTGGAGCACACTGCGGGATCACAGAATCCCAGAATCATGGCCTATCCTGAGCTGGAAAAGACCCACAAAGAGTCCAGCTCCTGTCCCTGCCAGACCCCCAACAATTCCACCTGGGCACCCCTGGCAGCGCTGTCCAAAGGCTCCTGGAGCTCTGGCAGCCTCGGGGCCGTGCCCATGGCCTGGGGAGCCTGGGCAGTGCCAGCACCCCTGGGGCTGAGCCTGTGCCTAGTGTTAATGTCCTTCACTTCACTCCTGCTGCAGGTCCCCATCTCCTCATCCTGCAGGATGCCCTGGGCAGCCTTGGGACCAGCAGGATGGGCCTGACCAGCACTGATGGCCCCACAGCAGCAGCTCTCCAGCAGCCCAGGACCACAGAGCCTGCTCAGGTTGTGCCCTCTCCAAAACCAGGCTGCCCTTCCACAAAGCCAAAGCAGCCCTGGCTCCAGAGCCTGCCAGTGGCACAGCGTGTGATGGAGTGACAGGAGTGGTGTCCAGCAGGGACAGCCTCTGCCCAGCCCTGCCAGTGGCTCCAGCAAACCCTCAGCCTCATGTGAGATCAAGGACAATAAAGGAAAAATCAAGGGCAAAAAATATGTGTGGCAGCTAAATACCAAGGGATTATGTTTCCAGCCTTTCTTTAGGGGGAAAAATCCAACATTTATAAAGCTGGAAAAAAGAAAATAGATCAAGCTACTGTTGATGTCAAAGGGGGATTCAGTTGAGAATAGACTTGAAGGGAATTTTATTTATGGAGCAGCTACTGGGTGGGCATCTGTGACCTTTAGAAAATAGATTAGAGCCTTTCTATACCCAGCTCCAGGCTGTGTGAATTATTAAAGGAACAAAATCATGAAGTTGAAGTACTTGTACAAAGCAACTCAGACCCGGCCAGCCCTCCCTGGGAGGCTCAGTGGAGCTGGGCACAGGGACCAGGACCCCCAGCCCCTCTGGAGCAAACAGAAAGCCAGACCCCACAGGCCCCCAGCACCCACCCCAGGTATACTGGCTCCCTCTGGAAGATCCCATTTCCTGCTGCTGCTCATTCCAGCCCCAGCCCTGTTTAATCCCCTATTTCCAATGGCACACAAAGGCACAAATCCACGCTGAAAAACTTCAGACGTACTCTTATTTCCTCTCAGCAGTGAAGTGTAAATAATGCATTCCCACATCCAGCTCCAGATCCCTGGAAAAGGCAGCCGGGGCTGGGGCTGCAGAACACCAGGGAAGCCCAGGAGGGAGGAGGAGGTCGGGAGCACACAGCCCTGGCTGCCTCACAGGCTGAGGCCACCTTCAACGGGCAGAGGTGCTGCTCCTGCAGTGCCACCGCTGCCTTCGGAGATCCCTGGCTCTCACGCTGTCTCTCCTGAAGCACCATGAACCTCAGAGCATATTTCCCACCAAAACAGGGCCACAAACTGCATCCCATTCCACAAAACCCCCTCCTGGCTGCTGCTCCTCGGGAAATGGCATCAGAGCAGCCAAAACCTGGGCAACTGCTGCTGCTGCTGCTTGGAAAGGAGCCTGTGCTGCAGGAGGAACACTATGCTGACATTAAATCACTGAAAATCAAATAATATCACCTCTACCATGTGTAGAAAATATTCCACACTTGCTAATTGGCATAAACATGGAATTGAACCTGACTTTCATTTGATCAATTGTACCTTAAAGCTGATTAAAGCCACCTCTAGAAAACAGAAATTGGCCATTTGTTGCAGATATGCCAGAGCCACAGCTCTGGGGCTCTCAGGCTCTCCAAAAGGGATTTCTGAGTTGTTTTTTCCTTCCCTTCCTACACTCCCCACACCGAGGACATCACTGTCTGTCTGAGAGGTGCACCGAGTGCCCGTGGAGGAAAGTGCTGTGCCCAAGGCCACCCCAGGCACTGGCCCCAAGCCCTGTCACCGTGAGATCACACGGTGCCACAGCTCCCACGGGTCACTGTCACACACCGAGGGTCTACTCGGACACTGGCTCCTCAGTACCTTCCTCAGCACGGGCACAGAGTGCTTTAATCAAGCAAAACAACTAAGTCACTCCTAAATTTTTAGTAACACTTGCCAGGTAGGTAGTTTTATGTTTTCTGTAATTAAATGTGAGTTGTAAATGACTTGGTAAACGCAAAAAGCTTTTCTCAGTGTCAGAGGAAATTCAGCATATTGACAAAGTCATCCAGAAAGATGACAGATGAATCATTTCAGCATTTTTCTGACAGTGTGTGTACAGTTCTGGTGCCTGATAGACTGCTACGTGCTAGACTTCACCTTTCTGCAACGCAGAGCGAGCAGCGCAGGGAGCAGCTCTCTTCAGAGCCAAGAGACTCCTGCCCTGGGACAAGAATTGGTTTTTCTCTGTTCCATGTTCTGAGCAGAATTAATTTTCCAGGTGCTGCTCCTTAAAGGAATAAAACTTCCTTGCCTGGAAAGTTTGTATGTGAAATGTGAATCTTCTCCTACCAGCTCGAAACAAAAATGTGGGCTGCTCCTTTTCACTGAGGTTTCGAGTTGTGTTTGGTCTTTGATTGTGAGCTGAAGACACAAGACCTTGAGTGTTCCTGTTCTCACCAGTAGTGTCTGGGGAGACTTTCTTCAGCTGTTTGCCTTATCCTCACAGCCAAGGACTGAGCTGGTATTTAATCATTCGCCATCATTCAGCACAAGCCCAGAAATCTGACAGAGCTCTGCTGCACGCTTTCGCCTCTCCTTGATCAAAGAATGTGGCTGCAAAGAGGGGTGAGTGTTTCAAACCACCCCCTCAAACCGTCACAGGGACTTGCACACTGCTGGCAATCCATTTCCATTACCCTGGAAGCCCCAGGCAGACTCTCATGGAAGCCCAGCAGGAATTCACGTGGGTGGGCTGTGCCAGAGCAGGATAATCGATCTCCTGGTGTTTGTCAGGGAACTGAGGCTGTACAGGAACTTCTTCTCTAGAAAGAAGCACTGATGGCAGCACTGGGACTGAGTGTCCCCTGTCCTGCCGCTCAGAACAGCTGGACCTTCCTCATGCAGACCATGGCTGATTTTGTGCTGCCACCATTACACAGCACCAGAACTGCTTAATACACATAAAGTATTCAAAAAGAGATTTTGGCAATTGGTAAAAATTTGGGTCCTTCTGACCAAACAGGTCTCAGATCTCCTGGGAAATTTCTGCTTTTGCAAAGTTTCCATCTTCCAGCCCTCCAAGTAGAGCAGGTACAAGCCATGGCCCAGTGGAACACGACCTTGCCAGGCTGTACCACAGAGGAGAAGGCAAAGGACAGTGTGGGTGATCTCCAGAGCCAGACCTGGATGTTCTCACCCTCGTGGCATCAGCTTTTGATCAGTGTGATGGGAGAAAGCAGCCAAGATGACCTGACTGGAGGGAAACACGAGCAGGTGCAGCTTGCCCAGCCCCTCAGCTGTCCTTTTATGTCCCCAGGGCACGGGGACACTTGTGCCACCCACTGAGCCAGGCTGGGCCCTCCACAGCTTTGACACGGCACGTTTCAGACTTTTCCATGGTCATGCCTCCACCCACAGCCCCAGTGCTGGCACACGGCCCCAGCCCACAGCAGAGTCAGCGGGCAGGTGGCACAGC